AAGCAGTCCCCCAACCAGCTGTTCGTTAGCTGAATGACATCAGTGTCAATCAAGAGGACCTAATGGTTGCCGGAAAGAAAAGGGGGTAGGTTAAAACTTTGTGAGTAGGCGGTCATTTTTGCATTGTGCCCGAACAGTCACGAAGCGTTTATAAAAACAAACTCTCCAGTTTTAGCGCCGTTTTGGAAAGGTTACACAATCCTCGATTCGTTTAGGAAGAAATTTTTTCTTCAGACAAAAGAGAACAATCGTAAGTAAAGAGATTCCGTAAATCCATAACTTGTCCAAAAGAATTTAAATCCGTGGGAATTTTCTCCTTTAAACTCCTTAACGATTCAGAACTCCATAAAAATTAAACTTTGCGGATTACGGGTTTGAGCTTAATGTCAACACATCAATTTTAGATGACTTATCTCCGAGTGCTTCTTTCAATTCCGAGTAATGTGTCACTCTTTGTACGAAGGATTACGTTCTTATTCACGAAAGCGTTTATGTTGCTGATCACGCGACTAAGAAGTTCCATTCGACTCAGACAAACGACGCAAGTCTTGCGAAGTGGATCCAGTAATAATTTCCTTTGAAATTACCCTCAAATGCTGCTTTCTTCAGGACTTTTAGGTTTTTCGTGAATCTCCCACTGTTTGGAAAGAGGTCAGAGAGCAGGCGTCTGAGTGCTTTTTCCACGACAAATAAATTATTCTCTGTTTATTCTACTAATGGAAAGCGCGCTGAGTTTGTGTCAAAACAGCGAAGAAGTGAGGCACGCTATTAGAGCAGGACGGAACATCGGGTGAGTCCGACGATCGGTTCGCGTTGGTAACAAACTGACCTGGGTTCACAGCAAGGAAAAGTAAGTCTGAGCGAAAAAAAGTAGCTTTAAAAACTCTTGAGCGCGTGAACCACAAGTAAAGGAAACGCGCGCGGATATAGGAAATCCTCTTAATCGTTAGTTTATGAGGGGCGCACAGTGAATTTTGTGTCGAAACCAGCCACATGCCAAATAATGGTTTAATCCCTTATTCATTTGACTGATCAGCATTGTCAGCAAACTGGTGTTTGTTCCACGATGTATCCGGCCCAGCGTCTCGAAGGAAATCGCATTTACCAGTTGTATCAGTTCATAAACTTGCTATAATCCGACGGTATAGAGCAACGAGAAAATACCCCGTGTGAAAGCAAAGTTTGTGCCCCACTTCATACGCTTTGCGAGTGGCTTCCGCAATTGGTATAAGCTATATTTAACGATCCAATCACGTTTGGTCTCAGTTTTGCCACCTACCCGCAGCATGCCGCTTAGTTTTCCATAAATACTCTTAGGACTCTCAGCTCCAAGAGGAAACTTTAGCCAATGGGAATCTGGGCTTAATACGGTTTTCTGGCGTGTGTAACAGCCACATTTTTGCCAACGCTATTTGGGATAGTGTATCCGAGTGGACTAGGCGTTTGACTTAGGGCTAAATTTATTAAGCTTAATAAGAAATTAACGATAACGGATGAGTGGTAATCTATGCAGTAAGTATAATGATATCAAGCTCGAACATTTTGTCGCATTCTGTTATGATGTTTTGCTCACGTATTCATTGGATCCCGCATGACCAAGTTGGTCATCCGGTTGCATAGGTATTTCCTTAAGCTTAATCCTCAAGTTGCCAAGTGCTTAGTTGAATAAGCCAATTATAAAGTGGCTTTAAAACTAGGCGTTTAGTGGAACTATTTATCGAAATTGGACGCATTCTTGCTCCAGTTATTTCAAACAAAGTTTGACTCCAACCAAACTTGTGTTGACCGATATTGAAGTTAAGTAAAGCATCCACGCCGAAGAAGAAACTTCCTTGGTATGGTCAGATTCTCTTTCAAGTAATGTTATATTTTTAGAATTATGTTCACCTCTTACAACTATTCACTGAAATTAGTTTACCGCCCGAGGAATGCTCATTTCACCGGTGTTTAACGACACCCATTTGGAATATTGTTTACTGAGTTCTATCATCGTATAAACGTAAGGGAAAAGATAGAACAAATTCATTATCAGCAAATTTGAAATTTTTTTTGCTAAATTAATCGTGGGAATTATTTTTTGAGAATGAAATGGCTTTCAGGATACGAAGAACAATATCGCCTGACCTGCTCAAATTTATTTGCAGAAAGTTGCTGAAATGTAAATTTGATGGCAAAAGGCCACAACTAGATTCAACAGATACTGTGGTGCCATTGACAAATTGATTGATAAATGATGAAGGCACTAACCAAAGATATGACAGAATGCTTCCCAAATTCAATATTTGTTTTATTAAAACGAATGAATGGCTCATATCAATTTTATTTGAGCAGAGGACAAGGTGGAGATTAAATTTCTCAGTATAGAAAACACATGAACGTGGAAGCGATCTTCGCAGTGATGAAAACAAACTGAGTTCATTGAAAATTCAAAGGAATTTTGTTTTAAATAAGTTCGAGTAAAGCCACTTCCGCAATGTTTTCATCGAAAAGCGTTGGAACGAGTTTGAAGGAGTGCTCAGATTCTCCTTTTCTACCTTTTCGATTGTTTATTTCCAATTTGCGATCACGAATCAAATACATTACTGACTCGTGATGCGTCTGCGTTCATATATTTATTTCTCAGCGGGTAAAACGCTTCCATTGCTTTTCCTTTCTGGTCTCTGCATTATATGTATCACATTTCTTACGTAAAACACACTGATGTAAGTTATCAGAAGCGAGAAATCATGTTTTCAAAACACATCTTTTTCTGTCTAGGAGATTTTAATAAAGAAAAGCTTGACTGAAAAATAAAAACCGGTCAAAGCCAAACATAAAATGCATAAAGCGGAGATTTTTAATGATAATTAATTTTTGTCGCTTCCTTTCTTTAGAAACTGTCGCAATTTTTTTGTCCCAATAATTAACGCTTCTGATTTGACCTGACACTCTGATTTTGTGACAGTATTCAAGCAATATTCGGACTCACTTGTCAAGTAATATCTGTATCAGGTCTAACATATGCTACTTTATCTCCGGGCTTGTCATTAAACTGATCCTGTCATTTCTTAGCTGCCTGAATTGTTTGATTAAGAACCATTTTTAGCGATATTTTTGATGGGATCCCTTCAGATGTGACCCAGCGTGTGGTTGGCCGTAATCACGCACCATTCATTGAGATAAGACACATCAGGCAAATATTACAATGTAGAAAAGAAAACGCCTCTCTTTATATGACGAACTAAGAATCAGCTTAGCATTTTAAAAGTGTGCTCCCAACGGGAGACCATCAGCAATTGAACCCCCATGCAGATCTTCCATTCCCGGTTGAGCGAGATGCTTTCGTGATATCTTTGTTAACGGTATGGAAATCATTGTTTTCAATTTTTAACTTTGAACGGAGGAGGCAAAATCGAATTTTGGCCATACCTTTTGAGATTCATACATTCATTGAAATAATATTTCAACTGCCCCCTGCTGTTTGGTCACCTGCTGGCCGTAATATGACCAAGCAGTTATTTCTGATCGATTTACTACTGATCTTTAAATTCCTTTTAGAAAAATACATACCAAAAATAACTAAATAAATCTTTCCATTTTTTTTAACGTTACCTTAACAACGTTTGAACTCTCACCGAAAACGTTGAAGAAGTTATTCGCCAAACGATTTGATTTTGATGAAAAGATTTTCGTTTGTTCTTAATTTTTAATCACAGTTATGTCTTTGTTGCTTTCTTTACGTTCATCCATTCCCCGATGAAAGATGAATAACAAAAGATTACATTTCTACCGCCAAGGCCGATTTTCCACAGAAATATGGCAGTGAATTTACTCCCAGTTTGCACAACGTCTGAAAAAATGGTTAAGTCAAACGGCAATAATAAAGTTAACTGAAGCCGCTTTATTTCATTATGTCACATAAAAGAAAGTCGCGTAGACATTATTTCTTTTGTAATTAAATCACTGGTTGAAATCCACCCTGACATAAACAAATTTCGTTTGAAAACAAAAGTAATAATATCCGAAACTATTACTCGGCCGTCGAAATGTGTTAATGCATCTTCTTTCTACGCTGGTGCGAGCTCGCACGCTAGTTTTGAAACAGCGATGAAAATATCGAAGGAATCTTCAAATGTATCGTGATAAAAATCTCGATGTTAATCTCCGAGTCGCGAGGTGAGCAAGCGGTACACGTCAGTGGAAGCGATTTGTCCTTTATGGACATTTGCAATTAAGTTAATTAATTCGCGCCCGGTTTCAGCTGCCGCTGATTGGCTGCCGAATGTGTAAGTATTTTCTAATTCAAATCAAATATTTGTGTATACACGGACAGAGAGGTTGTCGCGTATTGGATTTCATTCAACAATCGCTCATTTTACGTTTTGACGCATCGATCGCCTTGTGGAAAGTTGCAGAGACGTTAATCCGGCAGATCGACACTTTCCTTATCGATCTCTTCTTTATGTAATTCACTTTCGCCACATCATCCGAACAGCATCTGATCTGACCTCCAGACCCAAACTGGCGATAGCAAGAAGGCTGTGGCTTTGTGAAGTTCTATACAGCAGCTTCCGCTGTCTATGTGACATTTAAGCCGCGCGATATGTGGTCGCGAATGCACGAGAATGGCTTAACTGATCGCCTTCGTTCTCTGTAATCCAAGCATTCTTCGTTGAGCGGCTTGTTTGTTTAGAAGTGCTAGCCAAGAACGCAAAGACAGAGTTGTCAAGGAAAGGAAAACAGCTTGCGTAAAGGCTGCCTTTACACTTGAGCTGGGAACTGTTTAGAAACAATAGGTTATCTTTGTGGTGTAATCGGTGACTTGACAGGCAGTAATTGTCCGAGTGATTGGCGTGCGCCGAGCTTTGCCTCGAGTGAAATGAATTCTCCGCTACTGGTCAGTGAAATCTTGGGTGACCTGAACTATCCACTTAATTTTACGAACTGAAAGGATCACAAATATTCTTGCTGGCGATCGTTCAGGCTTCTAACACTGCGTAAGTATTGATGGTGTGCGACTTGTTCGGATTTCCGTCCTGTAGGCGGTGCTCTCGGGTCAAACACAGGATTGAAATACCAGCAGCCAACTGCTCGAATTTGTCTGGGAAGCACAGGTTGTCGTAAATTCGTCTTTCTTTCTAAAGCAGACTTCCATCGTTGGTTTGCGGATTTCTTATTCCTGTTTGTCGCTGCAGGGTGAATGTATGTTGTGACTGGAAGTGAGTGTTAAGCATGACTTATTGGAGCGAAAATTTCAACAGGACATTTTTCATTTGTATGTGAGAGCTTTCTTCAAAAGTGGCAGAGTAATGTGAAATGATTGATGACCAGGAGTTTATTAACCGGCGACACCTGAGCGTCACAATTTACACGTGTTCTAACCATTACGAAATGTACTTAATTCCGAACGCAAAAAACGCAAAGTACTGGCCGTAGCTTTTCGCTGATTGTTTGGCGGACTAATTCTATCTTATGGAGTGGTTATTCGGTTTCCAAGCCGCACCGCACAGTTTTGGTTTCACAACTGTGACCTATTAGGCCATGATGAAAGCGCGAGTTAAGATGATTTATTACTTTGGCCTACGCGGTATCCTTGGATTACATTTGAATTTGGTTTATATCGAGTTGAATTTCCTCAATCTACCAGCTGAATCTACATTATCGATGGCACTACCAATTTCACAGCGAATCGGACACTTGTCGTCTGAGAACCATTATAGCGGACCTACAACAGAAATAATTTTGAGCTATTTCCGAAAAAAGATATCTTCTTTGACCAAACAGGATTATTTCCAGTGGTGTTTTGAGAGCTAAGTGTACATAAGAATCACCAACAGTGTTTGACCTGGAGGTTTTAAATTTCTCTTCCTTCACCAAAATAAAGTTGGTAACTCGGCGCGATCGGCATAATTCCTTAAGTTTTATTTGTAATCCAAAATCACCGCTCATCCATCACTGTTTATGACGAGCTATCGAGAAAAAAAATAGTCATTGGGAAAACGACAGAGGAAAGAGGTTCGATTATTCGAATCCAGGTGGTTTTGGTGTAAAAGTGTAGTAATGAATCATAAAACTTGATCCGTGCTTTTAGGAACGTCATTCGAAATTTCTATCCTGTCGAGTTCTGGCATAAAAACAAGACTTTTCTGTCTAAGCCCCCTTCTGATGAAAAGGCAACTGTTGAATACCTCTTGCTGTAAGTGGTTAGCTTACATGCAAGGTCAGTGTGCATGGCAATCGATATCTTAATGCATTTATGCATACTGAAATTTATTAACCTTGCGCCGTGCCTCTTTGTTATTTTCTTTGACAGAGTTTGGACGCAGGAGAAGCGCTGCGCGCAGCTGTGCTTGTTCAAGAACGGAAAGGCCCTTGGCTGAAGAATGTGTTATACCAAAACGGTTTCCTTGGAATTCATTCTATCCCTGTTTGTGGTTGTTCACTGCAAAGGTATGTTCATTTGGATTGGTTTAGAGTATAGGGTGTGTTATAATAAGCTGTAAGCGTGAGGGACGAAGGCGCAAGCATCATGCAAATAGGCTTTCAATTTCTGTATAAACACAACTTTGACTCAATTTTTAACTGGATTCCTATGTAACTTATTAATCATTTCACTTATAAAATGCTTGATAGGTCTCGGGGAAATTGAAGTGCGATGAGATAAATTGTTTGAAAAGCGATTAAATTCAATCAATTACTCGGCCTCGTGCCTTTGCCTAAGGGAAGCTGCGTCTTTGTGCGTAGTTCGTGCGCTGAAAACTCCAAGTTAAGAGAGATTTTACTTTAAAATAAACAAAAAATCGGAAACACGTGGTCAAAGCTGTCTCTTCATGGTAGGACAGCTCGGAACCCTGTTAATTAGTGCCGAAATTGGAGAGCAGATAACACAATGGTATTCACTAACTTCAACTAGCTCTGCTTAGTGTCTGTTTCCTCGATGGCTACTTCAAACGACATCTCCTTCAAGAAAACACTAAAATTATGATTTATGAGGTTTCAACCATATACTGAAACTAACTCTCTGCGGATTTGATTGTTCTTACCCCTTTTCTTGAGAATACTCTGCATAAGATTCGATATATGACTGATAAGACCAATTTGTTCAATGAGCGGGCGATAAGACATTGATGTAAAGATATAACGTGTTAAGTCAGCACTTGTCGTTTCTCCTGATCAACAAGAAATTACTTAGGAAAAGGAATGAGGCAGAGGAAGGGAAAGAAACTGAGAGTTTAGAAATAGTAAGCTAGTACTGTACAGCGAATCCAATTAACACCTTGGACGTTAAAGGTTGATTGCTAATTGTTATGGAACTCATTTCGTATCGCAAGAGGTACCAAGTGGGCGTTAAGGCCAAATTGAGACCATTGTTACATCTTAATAGCTTCTTGTAGGTCGCTTGAATACCGCTTGAGTATCAATTGAACAAAAGATTAACTCGAAACTGCTGCTACTAACGGTTCAGTTATTATGAAGTGTGCTTGAAACAGGTGTTGCTTTCAGGAGAGAAAAATTGTACAAAGCGTCGAATTCTCGCGAGAGAAAACTCACAATCTATCGACAAAAGAAGTCTCTAATTTAATTAACTCTGATTACCCCTCACACAAAGGTGTAGTGGACGATATACCTTGGTTTAATTTTCACATCATAATATTTATAAAAGTTATTTTCGTCCATAGACCTGTTGTGTTCAGAAAGATTTGGCTCGTTAGCTTTTCATTTGATTGTTTACATTTGAATCGGTGAGGTGAATCATAACAAACGCCAGAAAAAGCCTTTCTAGCTAATCTATCAGGTCATTTATTGGTTCAAATTATCTTATTTCTCATCGCACCGATGCATCATTTTTTTTTTTAGCTCTGAGGAACCTAAACGTGTGTAGTCGAGGGCACTCTAGGGTTTTTGTCATCTTGTTAGGCTTTCCGTGTGGTACAACTCTGCATGGCGTATCTATACAGGACGGACGGCTTTTGAGCAAGAACAATGTGCGATTGTTTGAAGTATCATTTATGCTACAGCTGTTTTCGTACTCAAGATGAAAACCCTTTTCTCGGCTTTTATCACATGCTGTTTCCCACTAATAAATATTTCAACAAAAGGTAAAATGCTTCTTTTATCAAGTGAAGCATGCATAATGATCAAAACCAAAAATTGAGACCGAGCTAAAACTCTTAGAAATACGATCGAAAATAGACTCACTCATCACATTCCTGAGTCACAAAATAATATTTTGAGTGCAAGTGCTTGTTGCCAAACGTATATTTTTTTGCCCTTAAAAGCAGCTTCTTCGACACCTGTTTCAGGTTCAAAGCAGCGACTTCGTTTACCTTTTCAACTCAGCTTAAGGTCGACATTAAAATAAGATTTTAAAATCCCCGCAGACGATTCATAACACGCGGCTCTCTTGGGGATAATCCACTGATCTGATCAAATGGAATGAATCCACGCTGGACTTGTTTTTCATTAACTAAGTATTCCAACTGAGTTTTTTTTTTAATTTTTTAATTTTTTTTTTCCACTCATGATTGACTGTAGCCCGAGGGAATAACCGCCCCCTGCTGGTTAAAATGTAGTTTCCGTAACATATGGGAAGCATTTTCTTTGCGAGAATTCCAAATATTTATGTTTAACAAAAGAAGATTGAAACGTTGTTGATAAATACTGTTCAGCAAAGCTTAGGAGTCTACTTTTCTGAGAGTTCTTTGCACTTACAAGCCATAATTGTTGTTTAAGAGTACCCTAAGCATTCTTGGAGGCTAAAAGAACAACACATAGAGTAACTGATATAGTTGCTGAAAGAGAGGCGACAGAAAAAGACAGAACCTCTCTAAGTGTGTGGCCTGTAAAGGTCATTGAATTTTTTGGTATCAAAACGTCGCATGAAGCTCATATCACGTGAGACTTTTCTAAGCGCGAGAACAGTTGGATAATTCGGTATGTGACAGAAAAAACTCAAGCTCACGCTAACCGGAGCAAAATTAGGAGTAGGTTCGGTTGTGATCAAGTCGAAAATGTGGGATAATTTTGCGTAATGAACTAGCAGACATGGGAGCAATTTACTTGTTCGAAAGCAATTAGCTCTATAGGTCATAAACTTGATGAACAAGGGCTATAATCGATTTAAAAATGTAAAATCTTTAGATTTATGCAAAACATAATTAGTCACGAGACGAATGCTTGGAAAGTCTAAAGTGTGGTCATGCAACTCCAAACTGAACATAAACAATGACCTTTAGACAGGCAGTGTGGACGAGGTGAACATGTTCTGAACCACGAATTCTTGAGCGTAGTCTTTTTCCATTAAACATAGTAAAAATAATCCAAGCTGTATTGTTATTACTTCAGACTACCGTTTCTACACTTTCAGTTGCCCAAGTCAAGGAATTTAAACTGGAACTGTTTTCATTAATTTTGTTTATCAGACCCCCCTGTACTTCTTGCACCAGTAAAGCCATTGTATACGGTCCATGAAGGACGAAACGTCAAATTACGTTGCAAGTTCTCCGGAACAAAGGATCCCCCCGAGAACAGGACCTTAACAGCGTGGCAAAGGCTTCCTGAGGGTATGGTCATCACCAAAAAGTTTCCGCGTTTTAGGACGAGGCTCGAATATTTGAAAATAAAAAAGGTGCAGCCTTCGGACGAGGGGTTGTATGCCTGTATTGCTCACAATTCTTTTGGGGTAACCAGACAAGAAATCCGACTCGTAGTCAGAGGTAAGGGAAAGAAGATAGATTCCACATCAATTATAAATTTTGAAATTGCACGCAATTCCTCACTGTCAAAAGTATTCAGAAAACAAAGTAAAATAGGACGAGATCGTGCATTTGAGGAATCCCACACTAGAAAGGACCCACTTTGCACATTCCTTATATCAGCTCGTTCTGAGAATACCGTTTTTCTACTTAGCTATGTATTTCTGTCTGTTCATGCTGTCTGTATTGTTTCTGTCAGTCCCTTGAGAAGGAATTCGTTTGTTCAGTTAGTCTGTTGGTCAATCGGTTGGTCTGTCTCTCGCCTGTCCTTTAATAAATTACTTTTCTAAAATTATACAGGTAAATTTTTCTATGAGAAGCTCAAGGATTGATGCGCTATTTTTAGCCATAATATGAATACGCCTTGAACTAAAAAACTATCTTCAACTCTTTTAATCGAATACATGTCACTAATTTTTTACCACAACTAGTTTAAAAATAAACGTTTTCTTCAATTATACAGAATCAAACAGAAGTATCATCACAAAAAAAGAGACACCCAGTCCTACCCCGATCACATCAGGTAACACGAGCAGTAAGAATTTCGTTTAAGACTTTAAAAGTTTTTCGATCTCAAGAGTTCTTAGCGTTTCATTAATATTAAATAGCACTTGTAGCATCAGCCCTCAGGCTGTGGCTGGGTTAAGTGCCAACTCCCCTTATACTGACATGAAATGAGATATCTCCTGTAATTCCATACCTAAAATATTCAGTCTTAGAGACAAGTTGTTTTAGTTTTGGTTCATTTTTTTTCCAACAACGTCTCAGTTATATATTAGAGTTAAACCAACCAATACCACGTGTCATAGCGCAGACCTTCCTAGGAAGAGAAATTTCATTGATCGTCTGACCGCCGTATTATTCTTCCAACAGCGCCAAGTATCACTGCTAGAGAGCCGTCCATTAAAAGTACAACCGACCCACCGAGAATACCTTCTAAAATACCATTAATGGGTTTGTGTTAAATTTTCATTCATTTGTACCAATACATTCATTGTTATTTTCTTAATCACTCTCATATTCCCTACTGTATCGTTGTCACCATCAGCTCAAGCCTGGCTTTTTCTTAGCAATTATTAAAAGTTATAATATCCTAAAAAAAAATGAAATCTTTGCCCATTCATTTCGCTCATCAAAAGACCCAACAATTTGCTTCCCAGTTTTCCTTTGCCATTCACTTAATTCTTCTCCGTTATGTATTCATTCTTATTCCAATATGGTAGACTAGATTTCTGCAAGCAGACCATGGAATTTTATGTGGCTACTGATATCGTGGTAGTACCGACATTGATGAGTTTGTTTTTAGCTTAAAAGAGCTACATCAGTCTGACTAAGGGCTAACGCCCGAAACGTCAGCTTTAGAAACTCTACGGTGGCCAATTTTTCATTATCTACTCAGTTGATGAAACCATTCCATCTTTTTATTCTAATGTAATTTACTCTTAACACTTTAATGTAACAGCTGCCACTGACAGTTACAGTAGTTTCGTACCCACCGAAGTCGATTCGTACCAAGTCATCTGAGTCGTTTCGTACTCATACTAATAAAGTATGTTTTGCAAGTTGAGTATTTTATGGTATGAAAACAATAAAAGAATAAATGGATTTATTACCTTTAACAACGAACCGACTGGATTTGGGTGCGAAGCGACCGGGTACTAACGATCGTGGGCACGAAACGACTGGGTACCCCATTGAACCCATTGATAACTAAGTGTGATTGGCACTAAAATTTGCCACAAAATATCTATAACATATGTGGAAAATTATCATCATTATCATTATCATTATCACTACTACCAGCAAAGAAATCTGTCAAGGGCTGAGAAAATAATTCGGCCTCTCAGTCTCACTCCTCTAAGCTAGAAACTCGACCCATGAATGTCGGTATGACCAAAATATCATTAACAACAGTTCGTCAAATTCACTTGCCTGCTTGTAGAAATCTAGTGTCTCATTTTGACTCCAAGGCATCTACATAACATGCGTTATTTTTTTTCCTTTCTGACTGAAAGAAATTGAAACCAAATAACGTTGGCGGTGTGTCTTTTGCAGAGTACCCACCAAAGTTCAAGGGTCCACCCAAAAGTCGCGTTCGCTTTCTAGAATACGTCAAAGGTCACCATATTAGACTCAAATGTCACGCAACAGGAGCGGTTCCCCTAAATGTCACGTGGGTAAAGAATAACAAGCCTTTGAGCCGCACTCACCGGTCGCACCTGAAGGCAAAAGGCTGGGTGTTAGGCTTCAAGGCATTGACCAATGATGACGCTGGAACTTACTCTTGCACTGTGCAGAATGCATATGGTAAAATCGAAAAGACGTTTATTGTCACAGTTGTTGGTAAGATAATTTTTCTACGCCAGATTAGTGTTTAAGTACACTTCAGAGACTGGGAAAGATAATTTTATCTATGTCACAAATTTCACACCGACGGTTTGTTTCATTTTTACGAGATGGGGAACAAATCCTGGTGCCATGCATAGTCTAGGCTAAGAAGTAAACGCACACTTACCTTACCAACTAGGTGTTAGGAGACGGGTTCACCCATACCTCTCTTTGCAACTCTTCACATCTGGGCCTCTTAGATAAGCGATTATCCAGGCTTAGAAAGTGCCGCTGTCGTTACGAAATTAGCTGGGTTTCATCAATTGATCGGTCGCTAACTAGACACAGAAAAAAGGACAAACTCAATCACGGCTCAGGACTTATCCATAGGAAATTATTTGTTACTAATGATAAAGATGATGGCAGCATTGCTTCTCTGATCTCACAATTTGAGATTGAAAGAGTAAGAATCAGTTAATCAAAAGGGAAGGATCACAGACGCCACCATCAGAAACACCTTCCGTAGTAACGGCTTTGTCCTCCGAAGAGACTTTCTACCACATTGTGACGCAGCTGCTTTAGTTTTAAGACCTGAACGGAAGAGTAACCTTCAACTATATGAGTACTGAGTAAATCAAAGAGGAACACATCGTAACTTTTCTTTTCATATTTTACTTCCCTTAATCAGAGAATGGAATTAATATTCCTCCCGAAAGGAAACCAAAGATTTTAAGGCACTTTCTGAAGAACGAAACAGCTATGGAAGGTGAAGACGTCAAGTTTGTGTGCTCTGCAGTAGCTAGGAGTCATCCTGATTTTCACCTTCTCAAATGGAAACAACCCAGCAATGTTTCGAACGGCACCGATCCATTTGACTTTGTTGACTTCACAAAGTCAAAGTACCAAGAGATACGCGAGACTGCCAAGCAGCACACGGGTAACCGTAAACTTTATACTCATCGTTTTATTGTCAGAAATGTCACTTTGGCGGATGAAGCCAGGTACACATGCATGGTGGGGAATTCCGCTGGTTATGTATCCCATAACGTGTTTCTAACTATCAAGACACACGACGGTAGGTTTATAGAAAATTGTAGTTATATTTTGTTATCTGTACCATTTCACTTCACTCATTGGCATTCGTCTCAATGAATACTGAAAAATCACAACATTCATTCCCGGCAACCTCTTCCTTCATCTCAAGTCTGCCTTCGGAGCTATTTACCGTAATTCACTGCCTAAGTATCATGTCAGACATTACTCCATGTTCCCATTCGTAGCCCTCTTTTTTGTTATTTGGCTCAAAACAAATATTTGTAAGAACCACTACTAATTTATTCTAAATTCACAAGAACAGCTTCTCAACTGTACTAGAATAATGTGCGATGGATTGGCGGCCGGAATCGATTGCGCCTCACCAGGCCTCAAGGTGATTCCAATGGAGTTTCCAAACTAATTCGCGATACCAGTCTTCTTTTGCTCTGTAATTAATAGAGAAAACTCGCCCCCATCTCTAAAAACTAATAAGATGTAAGATTCAAACCAGTAGCGAGTTGGTCACTCGCGTTTTCCCGCTTTACAATGTTTGCTTGTGTTTACGAAGAGTTGTTATTGACTCATATTTTCCTTAATTTTGATTGGCCGTTGTGACTAGTATGATTCGGTTTTACGGCACTCTAACGAACTGCCCTCGATTGACACCTGATCACTTTCCGTGGAAGGTATTAAATGGCGTGCTTTGTTCTCAGATAGAGGAAAAAAATGCGATGATTTTTAAATTTCTTGCAGATGAAGAAGTAGTCTTTGGTGGCATGGGGAGGAAATCTCCAGCACCACAAGAAGATAAAGAAATATATATAGAGGAAGTTCCACTGGCCGCTTTAATTGGAGTTCCAATCGCCGTGCTTATACTTTTAATTGGAACAATTGTATGGTGCTATTTCATGACAAGAAAGCATCACGCTCGTCAACAATGGGCCAATGATACACTAGATAAGAACCCAACAGCCAACGACGTAATAAAAAAGGACTCACCGACGCAATTATACGCGCCGAAAAAAGTGAAAGAAGAGATACGGAATGTGAGTTTTAACATTTATGTTGACTGTCCGAATGACAGACTTTCTCACACTGAGCAACAATCAAGGACACACATGAAGAGTGCATTGTCGCACGAGAAGTGTGATTCATCGCGTGTGAAATGTGATTCATCGCACGTGAGAAATGCACGAAATCAGAAATGCACGAAATTAAAGGATCCGCCATTGGACGGTCTTGTTGTTCACAGTGAACCTTCAAGAACTCATTCAAACAGAACAGAGCACCGTAAGCGCCACGAAGAACGTGGGCTCGTACGCGATGAAGCCAGCGGATTCAAGTCCGAAATAAAATGTTCTGGTGTATAAAAAGCCTGGAAAGGTTTTAATATGCTAGTTCTTCGTAATATGCGACTAGATAAAACGGCCCACTAGCCATCGCCTACAATACCTTAATTCGGTTTCAGCGGCGCTACTTAATCCGCGCTTGCCTTTCGTAACGGTCAAACTGTAACAGAAGAATTGAAACAAACACTAACCACATTGCTGGTAAGGCAAGAGTGACGACTGGCCAAAGTCAGGAGCTCTCAATGTGTCCAGAGTAATTATCACAGTATTCACTTTCGTATTATTCCCATTTCAAAGTTTATTTATAACCTGAAAGCATACAGATCCCGACGCTTATGAAATAAGGGTGGCTTTCTTTTATTCGGTAACCCCACTTTTGGGGCCTAAATACAGCACGTGTAAACTGTCGAATAAAAAAAAAATGAATGACAACACTGGAATAAAATGTCACTGACTCATTCTGTATTCATGCGAGGGTTACGTTTGATCAATTTGCAACATAAAGAGAGTAATTCATATGTGGTGTTCGCCATCCGCGGTTACATCAGCAAATGCTCGACAAGAGTCCACTATAAAACAACTGACCGTTTACACCTTAACACCAGCATGTATAATCTCCTTGGTGCTCTCCATACATTTGGTTAGGTATTGAAAGGGAGAATTCGTTGACGATCAAGGGCTGTTTTATTTCGTTATCATTTCTTTTGTTCTCCTGACTTTAATGTTTGATTCAGCAGTGATAATGTAAGGAGAAATAGGATGCTGGTCACTCAAGGCGTTAAGGGGTTAAGAGCCAGTAATTCGACTGAGGGCGGTTATAACTATTACTGGACAAATAATTGAGATGGATTCTCTTGCGCAAAAGTGCATAAGAGGTCAATCAGAAGAAAACATAATCCTAATCAAATCAAAATCCTTAGATCAACTTGGCTTAGATAAATACAGGCATTGAAGATGCCCATTAAAAAAAGGTGCAATGCATCATGGTTACTGAACGCGGGAAAAGGTATATTCTGATTGGTATCTGAGAGCGTCCGTTTTTAGCGACGAGCGTCCCTTCGTATCAGGGAAACTTATTTCAGCGTATTGGAAATACTCAACGCAACAGGCCATCTGGGGCTTGAGGGACGCTACGGTACGTAAGACTCGCACTTTATAGAAAAACAAGCAAGGCAAACCTTGCCATGCTTCCAAAACCAAACATGTCGCGTCATAGGTGGAGGTGTTTTAAAATCCTGACTACGCCTATGAAACGTAACCCTCGCGAATAATGTATGCCTTAGGAGCATCGTGTTTCTTGTCTGTTACAAAGTATCGAAAGGTTTTCAAACATTTTCAAGTATTCGATTGGTTCTCAAATGATGGCTTTCTAAATCAATGTGAGGTCAACATCACAGTCGGCTCAAACTGCATCATTAGTGAGGAACTAGTCTAGTTGGGACGTGGGTCGCAAGAAACAACAATTATGTTGAAAGGCTAGCAATACAACACAGGCCATTTGAAATAGGCCAATATTTTGACTAGTATAGCACTAGCCCTAAAGAAGATGGGCAGCCCTTTTCCGTAATGCCAAACTGGCAATTTCATGTGGTACGAGCAATTCTATACTTACGCAAAATGAGTTCTACTAAGCGATTAGTGGTTCTCTACATTCAGGAGTGTCCCATTAATCATATTTCTGTCTATTCTTGGCGATGATTGAATTATTATTCGAATTTTTGACACACTAATTGGAAATAATAAGATTGTTTCAGAACAGTTCACATTTTTAGCCCCGCTAAACAATGAACACAAATGAAAAAGGAACTTGAAGAAATTCCTGACTCCCATTCAAAGTTGATTTAAAGAGAAAGTTTGTGTCGATCGGTCTTGCATTGACTAATATGGTTCCAATTATCGAGGGCGGTAGAATCATTTTAAAAGTGTCTTGCCGGAGAACGGAAAATGTTTCAAGTTTGCGGGAGGTTCAAATACCCGCGCTAATTTCGACCAAAATTCCACTTAAGTAAAGTTGTACATTATCCAAATTCAGGGGAAATCGATTTTGGTTTCAGTTTGCGCAAGGGTTGGAGTATATGCGCGTTTTTAGTAACAAGAAGTCGACTGTAACAATTAAACAACCTTGCATGCCCCCAAATGCAAGTAGGAAGCTTTTTTCCCGGCAACCTCTTCTTTCGTCCCAAGTCCGTCCTAGGAGCCATTTACTATAATTCACTGCTTAAGTGTCATGTTAGACTATTACTCCGTGTTCTTATTCGTAGCCCTCTTTTTGTTATTTTCGTTGGCTCAAAACAAAAATTTACTAGTACCACAACTAATTCATTCTTAATTTCACAAGCACAGTTTCTCAACTAAACTAGAATAATGTGCGATGGATTGGCGGCCGGAATCGGTTGCGCCTCACCAGGCCTCAAGGTAATACCAGTGGGAGGTCCAAACACCCGCACTAATTTCAACCAAAATCCCCTTAAGTAAAGTTTCACGTTACGCAAATTCAGGGGAAATCGATTTAAGTTTGCGCAAGGGTTGGAGTACGTGCGCGTTTTTTGTAACAAGAGGTCGACTGCAATAATCAAACAAACTTGCATGCCCCCAAATGCAAGTAGGATGCTTGTTGCCCTATTTCCCCTCCTCTTTGACTGAAACATTTTCCTTCAACAACGTCGCGATTCCTGAATCACGTGACCAAAAATGCTGATAAGAATTATGACTTCGCTTGAAGAGGCGAGACTCTTTTTGCATAAAGTCCCTCTCTGCAGGACACTTGCTTTGACGTAGTCGTAACTAGGGAAGATAATGAAAAGTCGAGAACCTACTTGCTTCTTACGTACCTTTTACAAATTGTATGAGTAGATTGCGTAAATCCGGAAATCAGAACACAAGTCAGAGTTCCTTCATGTACTATTTCAAAACGAGTGCAAGGGTTTCATCAGGGTGTTCAAACACGAGGAAACCCTGGAAATCCTGATAAAACCCGACTAGCTTCTCAATCGCGCCTCAGGAATAAAAGATAATGGAAATATTCACGAATTTTTCACGTTGTCGGCAAATTTGTTGTTACAAAAAATTGTATTGTTATGGTGATTTTTGTTTTTTACAGAAAGGGTGTGAGCAATGTTATCACAATCCTGTAAATAATTATAAATTCAAGGTTTCATTTTGAATTCTTCACTCTCTTCTGCGATTTATCACGTTTTCGGCAGCTGAAATCAGCCGATGACCGAAGAGGCCATGTTGAAATTGGTAATTTGAAGAGTTCTAAAATAAATATGAACATAAACAAGTGAACGACGAAGTTGATGATGTTTTCTTTAGAAAATGTCTTATTATTTGTTATTAGAGAGGGTGTTAATAAAGGTTGTTTTTTCATGTTGGTGTCTTTGTTTTAAGTATTCAAATACGTGTTATTAATGTTCAAATTAAGAAAAGAGTTCACTAGTGTTTGATTCTTTATCAGACTCAAGGGTTTGATATTATGTACTCATGGATAGCGCTTCATTCCAGTCTTTCACCAAGGTAAACCCCATGCACGTCACGAAATTGGCGTGTCTTGGTTGGATGATCACCTTATGAACAATTGTTTGAGAAGTCTTATTAAAAATAAATCTCGCCGCCTTGGCAAAATATTGGGTGCCGAAATATGTCTTCAAAGCACTCATAAGAGACCCAGGCTGCAAAGAAAGTGCTCGGTGAAACCGGAATGAGGAAGAGGGTTGATGACATTCAACATTTACGTTCATCACGTAATTCAGTTTAACTACTTACTAATCTGCGGCAACATTATTGGACACGTAAAATTCACGTCGTCACTTCTAAGGAGAAAAACTGAAATAAATTTCTAACGGCACTTGACTACTATACCTACCCTCCACCATTACAGGAAAGTAGAAGGAAGAGACAAGGAGCGACATTATAAAGGGGGGAGGGGGTGCGACCATATATAGGGGGGAAAGGGGGGCGCCATAATATAAAGGGGGAGAGGGGGTGAAAGTTAGGGCCATTGGAGATAAAATTGCTATGTTGTTTTAGTACATATATCTTATTAGACTTTTTGGTGTGTAGTATCGCTGAGCTCAGTTTTTGCGAGTTGTGCCGTATTTTCAAAATACAAACAATGTGTAAAAATACTAAGCAATACTATACACCAAATCGTGTAATAAATTAATTATTATCCCCCTGTTTTTTTTTTCCTGACTTGTGTTTCTGCTCATTTCTCGCAAGGTGGGAAAAGCAAAGCGGATGGATAAGAGTAAGGTGCGCAGCCGACTGGTCAAACAGGTTTTTTCACAATACAAAATAACCTACTGTACAATATCGAAGGATACTTATACTCTGTTGGCGCGTTATTTGTAC